GCTCATTAAAGTCCGTTCTCTCTCTGTTCATAGCAAAGTTCAAAGTGTAACGATTCACAACGCTTGCAGGACAGGTTAACTGGACACCCCTTTGCAACCCATTGGTTGAGATCAGAGTGACAGCAATAACACTTGAGGCAAAAGAACTAGGCTGTTTATGTACTTTTTGGGCACAAGCTATCTTTATGACACTTGTCATGAGGCACATAAGACTGGATTAAATAATAGTTCACGTACCAGTTGCTAGTCAGTCTCCAGAGTAATGTAAATAAATAAATAAATACAGACACAACCAACCATGCAGAAGGAAAACTTGGTGTCTCCTCTCTAATTCTAGTATTCGACAAAGCCATCGATAACTTTCTGGCTTTTTCTCCTTAGCACTGAGATGAGTATCGTAGCTCTCGGGTTACCTCCTGGCCTGTTATGTGTTAACTTCCCTTTACCTTAAGCAGACCCATAGCCCATCTTGGGGGATGGCACAACCCATGTGACAGTTGCAAATTCTGGGGGCCAGATTACCTTTTAGAAAGGCCCTCTGAAGAGCACCCCATTTCCCAACACTGGGGCTACTGAACAAAATATCTATCTACCACAAAATAAATATCTACTGCACAAATGAACAACTGTTGAGTAAAGTAAAAAAATCCCTGAAAGATTTCTTAAAATGAAGAGGTCAGACATGTCATTCAACTGTTCAGGTAAATATCACTGAGGAAAAATGAGAGAAAACTACCCTGACATTTATTTATGTAAGACTCCAAGATGTAAAAATCAAGTTCACTCCTCCTGTGTGCTAGGGAGACAGTAAAAAAGAACCGTGAAGAGCAACGGACTCCAACCTCCAGCTGTTCCACAGAGAGGTGCTGAGGGTACGCTCTGTTCTGGGCCTTTGAGCTTTCTTGTCATAGATAGTTTGCTCCCCTAGGTGTCAACAAACAAAAAAAAACCATAGTAAATAGCAAATTATACAGTGTTTAACACAGAGATGCTCAGTTCCCACCACGTGAGCAAGCTTCTTAGCCTTTCCATTTCTTTCACTGTGAAAAGGGGATTATGATGTTACCCCCTCCTAATGCTGTCCCCCCATTCCATCTTCTGAAAGAGGGTCCCCTCAGGGGCTCCAAAGTGACACACCCTTCAATGGGAGGCTCCTCAGTGGGTTCCCCTCAGTGACTCCCAGGAATGTGTGACAAGAGCAAAGAAAAGAAACAGAATCTTCGGTGTAACTTTCCACTTTAGGAGCAAAGTTTAGAAAACTCCTAGGGCCGGCCGAGTGGCTCAGTTGGTTAAGAGCTCACTCAAGAGTGTGAGCTCTGAGCAACAGCAGTTCGATGCCCGGCCCGAGCTGAGCAGCAGCTGAGCTGCCAACAGGTGGCAGGATGGCTCAGCTAAAAAAAATAAAACTGCTTATTTGTCTCCCCTGCTTTATGTCCTTTGGGTCCCTTCATCCTTGTCACCTTCTCTCCTCTTCAAGGCCCCTCCCCTCCTGCTTGTCCCTCTCCTCCCATCGCTCTCTCTCTTCTGGAAGCCCCTACATTTTCCCCTCCAAGCTTCCCTCGGTTACCCCCTTCCACATCCCTCCTCCCGCTGGCCTTATGCCCCCTTCCAAAATTGTGCTTTTAATTGGTAGCTGAGATTTCTAAACACGAATTTCTAATATAAATATTGGCAAAACTTTCTAGCTGCCCGAGTGTTAGAGCAAGAATGCAAAATTACCCAAGAAGGCACTAAGTGGTGATTGTTCAAGCAGAAAAACTCATTTAAATGATTTAAGGTATTACAACACACTATTTTCCTAATGAACTTCAAATATTTTATCTTCTCTGTATAGTATACCTACTGTAATAGACACCCAGACACAATGTCAAAACCAGCGAGACAAACATCTAACCAGCAAGCGCATTACTGCTGGTATGTAAGTTTCTTTTGAAAGTGAATTTTATATATAGTCATAGGATGTGGAGTAGAGCATAAGGAATAGAGTCAATGGAACTGTAACAGCTATATATGATGTCAGAGGGGTAGTAGATTGGGGGAGGGAGATTATCACTTTATGAGGGGTGTAAATGTCTACTACATTGTTTTGTACACCTGAAACCAATTTTAAAAAGTGAATTTAGTTCTATCCTTTGTACTATCAAAAATGAAAAAATATTGGAGTACGTACCATGCATAAGAATGTGCAATAAAATTCAAACAGCCACAAGAAGGGGCCATGGAGAATAAATGGACAGACATGTAGAAAGTCCTTTTATGGATATAGAGTTCTCTGACTATGGATGGGAGAAAAATTATTTGTCCATATGCTCAAATAAAGGCAGGCAGATGAAAGCCACTTCTCCATGAGGGTTCCGGGACCCATCCCAACCTCTTCCTCAAGATTCTGCTATTTCCTTTGAGTTGCTTGGGTACTTCACCCCCACCCCTCCA